CACCATGGGGAGCAATGTTTCTGAGATTGAGTTGCAGGTTTTCTGAAAATAGATTGTGAGTGGAAGAGTGTTTTCTGTCTGGCCGACAGAGTTTGATAGTCAATCTCAGCCAGCGAGACAGCTCTGTTAGCACTGTGAAAAGACTAGACTGGTGCATTTAACTGAGGTAAGATATTATGGTCTAATTATGTCTGTGTCTGTGTGTGTGTGTGCATGCCAGTGGGTGAACATGCAGAGATGTGGGTGTGTGCATATGCCAATCAAGCTGGTTCCAAACAAATGATGCAGCTTTGATGGTGCCTTCATGTCATGGAGATATTCATAAAAATCATTATATTCTCTTACAGGAAATGCTTTTTTGCTTAAGGCAGCATTTTGTCAGCATAATCTAACAATAACCCCTGGACTGGTTCTCTATGTGTCTGCTATTCATTAACTGTAAATAGCACCAATGATACATAGCACCTAGTTGATATTGTGCCAAAGGTTCTTTTTTTCTTGGTACTAAATAATGTATAATATGCCACATGGAAAGCAAGATAATAATGTAATAAAACAAGAATTATTTGTGTGTGTGTAAACAGGGTGGGAAGAGCAGGCCAGGGGTGTGTGTCAGGGTGTGAATTTAACATTTTCATATGACAAAAGGCTTTAACCTTTTCAAGCCACTGAACCAGCCAGTGGATCATCATTCAAATGCAGCCAAACATTCAAACCCACATAAGCTTTAGTTTTTGAATTTCTAGTCAGGTTCCCAAGTCAAGCTCCTATGACACCACATATGTCATGCTGAATTCTGTGGAAATGTGTATAAAATTATGCAGAAGGCATCCAGAAATTTCTATTTGAAGTGGTTGTAAAGCACCGTGGTTTGGAATATTTCACTCAGTGTAAGCACGAGATACTGTAGCTCCAAGCAAAAATGTATATGGAATTGCTGACTTTTTTTTTTATTTTTACTTTGAATCAAATATTCGAGTGTGTGAGTTTTCAAAGGTGAAGTGACATGCCAGGATCAAGAGCAGCTCAGTGTTTACATTTTGTGTGAATGTCGTTGTGTATGCATGTGAATTTGGTGTACTGGGTCTGGGCATTTGCAAACATCTGTTTTGGTGAATCTGAGTATACATGTATATGCATATATATCAAATCAGCTGCTTCCCTTTTATGGGATCATAGTACATTTTGAGGTTTAGTAATCTGCTGTCTGAGTAGTTTCAGAAAACCTCTGTTCATCTATCAGTATCAATGTTGCTTTTGATTAATACTTTCCTCATTTGCTTTATTCATACTATGTTGTTTCTGCACAATTTGAAAGTTAAGCAAAGAGAAATGGGGAAGAGTACAGTTCTACCTTTTAGCATTGCAATGAATGACTGTACAACTGCACATCAGTGCTGTATACAGTCCTAGAGTTAAATAAATATGCGCTATGTGGAGTTGTGGAAATGCATGCTCTCCACATGTGGCTGCTTGGTTTGTATATCGTATGTTTGAGAAAGAACATTGTTTGCTGTGGAGTATACATGACTGTTCTTCCAGTGCATACACTTACTAATGTATTCAGTCACATCACTGTAAACACAGCTGAGGACAACAAATGATCTCAGACTATTGTGTTTGCCTCGACATTACAAAATAATTCCTCTGACTTGACCGATCACTTCACACAGAGACGGGCTTCTCTCCTGCGAAATGAGCTACATTTGGAGCCAAAACTCTTATCACAACGGGTCACATACAATATGATGTACCTTAATAAATATATGAGGCCACATGGCTTCATTAATAAGGCCTTTGTGGTATAGCGTCTAGATGGATGCCACTTTGAGTAAAAGGTTTGTAACAGCCTGCTTGGAGTTTGCTTAATAGCATTTAAAATGTATTGTAACGATGGGTAATTGTATTCATGTAAAATCTACAACACAATGAAGTGTGCAAAAAGTGAAGAGGTCTCAATACTATATTGAACTGACTGTATATTCCATTTTCTTCCCCTTTCTCCAGTGTAATGTCATGTTAGCATTAGCCTAGTGAAGCAAAGAGGAGCTTTTACTTTCCCATTTTTTTCACAAGATAGTGCTGATGGTTTGCTGTCTTCTGTTCCATCTAGTACATTTAATGTTTTAGGACCATTTATATCCTGCCCTTCAACATGCATCTCCACTGGAAACATCATGTACTGCAGCTAGTTATAATAATTGGTCTCCTCTTGATTTCCACTGTTAGCAAAAAGCAAAGAGGGGGTCACTCTGATCTTTTTCAGAGAGGAAGGCAGCCAGCAATAGAAGCACTCCTGCTAAAACAAATGCTGGCTCTTTTTTCCACAGTACTGTTAAATTTTGCAATGGAGTTATGCTAGCGCTAAACATTTGGGAGCCAGCAGGGCTTGTTGAGAGCATGAATAAAAGAGTTCCTGGGGTGGAGTGGTGCGGGATCCTACTGCGCTAAATTTAGATCTGAAATGGAAGGGAAAAGGAGGGAGGAGAGTGGCAGAGAGAGCAATGAAAGAGGGCAAAAAGAAATACTATTGATGAATTTTGAGCATTCAGAAGTCATTAAATTCTTTTAACTTTGTGCATTTACCACAGTGTTCAGAACAATCAGCATGACTCAGCTTAGATTTTATATTTATATATACAGTGGAACCTTGGATTGCGAGTATAATTCGTTCCGGCAACCTGCTCATAATCCAAAGCACTCGTATATCAAAGCGAATTTCCCCATAAGAAATAAGCGAAACTCAGATGATTTGTTCCACACCCACTTATCTATATAAAAATGATTACAGTAATACAAAATACAGTATAAAGTAAAAATAAAACAAATTAAACTACACTTTACTTTTTGAGAAGAATTGTGGCTGGCATGAGGGGCCATTGTTGCAGTACAGATACTGACTATACGAGTGAAGCGTGAGAACCATCGGCTCAGTTGTGACGTACGTCACGTGACGCTCGGCAGACAAAGCGTACGTACTACTCGTATTGCGAGACCTCGCTCGTTTATCGAATCAAAATTTTTTTTGCTCGTCTTGCAAAACACTCGCAAACCGGGTTACTTGCAATCCAAGGTTCCACTGTAATACTTAACATCATCAACAAACTATACCAGCTAAGCCATGTGACAGGTGTAATGGGGTGCATGATGTCATGGTTTTGAGTTCAAGAGGGCTGCTTTGTGACTTGTTGGCATGTGTGTTTGTGTGTGTTGATGTTCCAGCTGAACTCGCCGATGAACTCAGTCAGCAGCACAGAGGACATTAAGCCCCCCCTGGGCCTCAACGGGATGATGAAGGTGCCCGCCCAGCCCTCAGGCACAGCCCTGTCGCTCACCAAACACATCTGTGCAATCTGTGGTGACCGCTCCTCAGGTGAGTGGCGTCAGACTGAGATAAACTCCTTACTGCATAACCATATGTACTGCATACAAAGGAAGCACTGAACACTAAAATCACTGAACTGCTTTATGATTCAAACTCTAACCAGAAAGTCCAGGGAACCTTATGTATGATTTAGGAAAGACATTTTTGGAGCCATTGATCTTGGGAATGGTTTAAATATAATTTCTCAGCAGCTGGGAATACACAAAACTCCATCACCAAATGAAAAGAAAGTGGGACTAGCCATCATCTTGCTAAAGTTGGTACTCTAACCACACCAAAAACCCTCCAAAGAGGATCCGAAGATGAACTTTGGTCAGAGAAGTGCCCCACAGACTGCTCTGGCACAACTACATAGTGCATCTTCTTGCAGTGGGAGATCTTCCTGGAAGAACAACAGTCAGTGGAATTCTTCACTAATCTGGGCTAAACAGAAGACAGGCCAGAAAAGCCACTCCTGAAGGGGGGAGAAACTTATAAGGGCAGCAGAACAACACTTGAAAGAAACTGAAATTATTATGCAGAAGATGGTGTGGTCTGATTAAACCAAACCTCAGTTCGACTTTGAATAAAATATAGAAACACAGTGTCTAACAGAAAATGGGCTAATCTCATAGCATCACTACTGTGAGGCATGATGACACCTTTTTCACACTACTTTCTGATCGAGTCATAAATGTCTGCACATCATTGTTACCTCTGATTCAACTTTCATCCTGCCAGGTGTCACATTACAGTTTTCACTAGAAACTGTTCTCATTTTAGGTTTCATGTGTGAATTCCTAATTTTATGTATGATACCCAAGTTCTGACTTCCTCAAGAATCTTTATAAAGTTTTAAAATGCAAAATAAAAAAGGGTTAGTTCTTAAACATTTTTTGACCTTTCACAGATGCTCCCTTCAGGGTTCTCTTAATCATCACCAATCATTTGGTCTAACTAATTTAACCACAACAACAACACTGAACCCGTGCCTAACTGTTACCCCCAGACTGATCACACGCACACGCCAACAGCAATTCTCTTTGCAAAGTTGTCTATTTTTTCCACAAGGCCAAAAAATAGCCCTGTGTTTAAATGTTTTGTCTGGGGATACCCATGAAAGGTTTCAACCACAGAATGAAGATGGATATCTAATTTAATGGGCAGTGTTAATGTCATCCTGCATCATGGCTACTACATGGACCTATGGGGAGAAATCAAAACAGTGTTTAATAGCAAGTCACACTTCATGAAATTTTGCTCAAAGGCTTTATTTATCTCCTTTGGTGGTCTGACCCACAAAGATCTAACAAGAGTCAGTGTTAGCAACACGGAAACATGCAAATAGACTTCATTTGTAATAAATAATGTGAATGGGGGAAAAAAACAACATATGAGAAAAGTTATGTAACGCACATCCATAAGCCCCTTCAATTTCCTCCCACCCCACAGACCTTGCCTTATGTAGGACCCTCTTTTCTTCCTCAACCACCTTGGCATAACCCCCAAACACACAGCCTGTTCACTTTAATGGGTCTTTGATACTAACTGATCCTTTTGCCACCTTAAAGTCTGGTTGTAATATGTTATTTATGTGGTTGAATGTTATGTCCAACTGCATAGGCTTTTTTGTTCTCAGGTCTTTCTTGAAAAATAAGTTTGATCTCAATTAGAATAACTGCTAATAAAGTAGTAATGCACTACATGACTGCTGTTCTGGTGGTCATGGGTTACAAATACAGATGGGTGACATATAAAAGGAAACATCAGAATAAATGAGTGATCTCTTCCAGGATGGCAATGTCCTTGACGTGTATGAAAATGATGGTGAATCATACAGTATGCTACGGCCTTCACTGTCACCAGATCTCAGCCCAGTTGAACAACTATGGCAGATGGTGGAGTGAAATGTTAGACAACTTTTTTACCACCATCATCTTAACACCAAATGAGGGAATATCTGTTGAAAGAATGGTGTAGAGATCAGAGACTTGGAGAGTAAATGTCAAGGTGCAGTGAAACTGTTCTAGTGGCACGTGGTGGCCCAAAACCTTACTAAGACACTTTGTGCTGTTTTTTTTTTTTCCTTTAATTTGTCACCTGTCTGTAAGTTTACTTCATTCAACAGTGGAACAAATGAGCAACTGACAGCAAATGTGTCTGGCAGTGTTAGGATCTGGTTCCGTCCTCAACCTGGTGACCTTATGTCTTTTGAGACAAACAAACATGGAAAAACTGTGACAAAATGGAAAATATGACTCATGAAAAACTATACACTAATAACAGACAAACTGTATCTGACTTTTTCCCCACAGGTAAACATTATGGGGTATACAGCTGTGAGGGCTGCAAAGGTTTCTTCAAAAGGACGGTTCGCAAAGACCTGACCTACACCTGTCGTGACAACAAGGACTGTGTCATTGATAAGCGCCAGAGGAATCGTTGCCAGTACTGCCGCTATCAGAAGTGTTTAGCCATGGGCATGAAGAGAGAAGGTACAGCACATACCGTTGAGGATAAAGTCCCACTTAATTATTCATGCAAATCTAGTATAATTCACAGAGATTCTCATTGGGACACAGATAAGGACCCTATTTTAGAAAATCTGAAATGCACAGAGTACCTGTATGATCTTTGGTAATAGCATTGGTTTAGGAACACTTTCTTAAGATTATCCCTTTAGTGCACTTTATGTGATTGTGTACTGACCATTTAATAAACGACAGAAGAACACAGACTGGCTTAATCTGGCAGTATGTTCTCAAACTGCTATGAATATGATGCTCTGAGCAGATGCCAGTATACTCACTGTGACTACTAGGTTCATTCACACTGTAGGAGTTTGCAAAATGCAGTAGTAGAGTATGTTTAATTTAAATTGATTGGGCATAAACTGATGTGGAGTTACAAAGAGCACTCAACATATGACTTTAAGGTTTGATGGAGTCCCTTGTTACTTGCTTTCTATAAGTAAAGCAACATGTCTGCCATCCTGCATTTATCAATTTTTCCAGAAGCACTTTAAACTGCTCTGCTACATCATGCTGTGCATAACGGCAACAGACTCTGCTGTATTTAAATATGTCCTGCTTCAAGCACTGGTTCTGGGGCAATAATGCATTCAGCTGTTGTAGCCACAGCAACCCAGAATTACAGAATGTAGAGGTCTGTGAGAACAGGTAGTGCCGAGGGAACACACCAATGTAGACTGGGAAAGTACTGTAAAAACATAACAAAGGTGCTGTGTGAACTTCTGCTTCCATTGCATTCTCTGGCCATCCCTGGCCATGCTCTTGCACTCCTAATGATTTGTACCTGGAGGTTGTGTGAAAGAGCCTAACCCTAGGTGTTGCTAACCAGCTTGTTTGCACAAACACAAACATGGTCTGTGAGCCTATTTTATGCAAAACTCAAGGCACAAAATTTCATCAAAATCTGTGAATTTTAGCACTTCATGAAGCTGTTAAAAATATTAGCACTTTCAGCAGTGCTGATAAATAATGTTTTGCACATTAGGCAAATCAGTCACTGTCGCTCACTGTCATGTGTGCGTGCATGTGTGTTCGATGTAGCCTTCCTTTATAAAGCTGAGTGAACAAGAAGAATACATGATTTTTGGATAAATACATTTTGCAGGCTATTCTATCTGAGGCCAGTTGACCTTTACGTGGCCTCACCTCCCCTTTTTTTTTTTATTTATATCAGTGTTGGGCTCTTTACTCCTTTCAAGGATATTATCATTTACTGCCTTTCACTCATAGTGCTCCCTAAGCCTCCCCCTGCACCCCGAGGGCTGTGGTTAGAAAACAAGACAGCAGTAGCCCAAAACGCTAAGTGAATCCACAGAAAAACAGGATTAAACGAATTTATGCTCTTCCAGTCAGGAGACTGGGGGG